TCTCGCTGTGACTGAGCGTGCCTCTGTATCTCGCTGTGACTGAGCGTGCCTCTGTCTCACTGTGACTGAGCACGCCTGTATCTTACTACCTCTGTCTCACCGTCTTGTGACTGACACTGCCTAACCATGTCTCATTGACTATCAATCTGATTGAATGTAATTTTGTCTCATTGTGCCAAACTGTGCCTCATTGTGAATGACTGTGTCTGTATCTGACTGTACCTATATTTGACTTTGTCTCATTGTGAATGACTGTATCTGTATTTGAATGTGCCTCATTGACAATATATATGACTGTACCTATATTTGACTTTGGCTCATTGTGAATGACTGTGTCTATATCTGATTGTGCTTCATTGACTATATGTATCTGACTATATCTGTATCTGACTGTGCCTCGTTGTGACTGTGCCTGACCATGCCGCATTGTGAATGACTATATCTGTGTCTGACTTTATCTCATTGCGACTGACTGCGTCATTGTGATTGATTCTGTCTTGGCCATCTCATTGTGACTGGATGTATCTTTATCTGTGTCACATTGTGACTGACTGTGTGTTTTTGTCTGACAGTACCCGACTATGACTGTGTGCCAACCTTTCTGTATCATATTGACTATATTCTGCCCTATTGTGACTGACTTTGTCCGTATCTGTCTCATTGTGTCTGTGTCTCTGACTCATTGCGACTATGTCTCGTTGTAAATGACTAACTGTATCTGACCATGTCTCATTGTGAATGGCTGTATCTGTGTTTCATTGTGACTGTGTTTGTATCTGACTGTGTCTCACTGTGACTGATCGTGACTGGCTGTGTCATTCTGTATGTCTCATTGTGACTTACCATGCCAATATCTGACTGTTTTAGATTGTGACTGGCTGTAACTGTGTCTGTATCTGAGTGTGCCTGAATATATGGCTGTCACATTGTGTCTGACTGTATCAAACCATAGCTCATTGTGCCTGACTATGTCTGGCTGTCTCTTGTTGTGACTGACGCTGTCAGATTGTGTGCCAGCCTCTGTGTCTCATGTTCTTTGTGACTGACTGTATCTGATTGTGACTGTCTCTGTGTCTCATTGCATCCAACTGTGTGTTCTGTTTTGACTGTCTATATCTGCCTGTCTCATCGTGTGGATTGGGACAATCTCATTGGGACTGTCTCATTGGCTGTGTGTCAGTCTGTGACTGAATCTGTGTATGAGTGACTGAGCCTGTGTCTGACTCTGACTGAGACATTCAGATTGGTGACAGACTGTGTCCATAACTGTCCATGTCTGTCTAACTGTTTTGTCTGTGCCTGACTTTGTGTCTGTTGTGAATGACTCTGTGACTGTATCTGTGTGTGTCTGTGACTGCATCTGGGTCTGTCTCTGCCTGTGTGCGTGATTGTGTCTGTGACTATCCATGCCTGTCTGCTTTATCTGTGTTTGACTTTGTTACTGACTGTGCCTATGTCTGACTCTGTGAATCTCCTTGTCTATCTGGCTATGTGTGTATCTGATTTTGTGACTGTCTGTCTGTGATTGACTCTGTGTCTGACTGTGTCCATCTACGTCTGTGATTGACTATGTGGCTATGTCTGATTGTGTGTGATTTACTCATCTGTCTGTGTTTGTCTGTAACTGTGTGTGTTTGTGCATGTGTTGACCGTATCTCTGTCATTGTGTTTATATCTTAACAGTGTCTGTGATTCA